TTAGCATTCCAATTCCAATAATGGAAACCTAGGTATAAGTGCATTAACCCACTTATGTGGGTTAGTCTTATTGTATTATTCTTATTACAAGGAATCCACTTTTTATGTACAATCAGGATTGTATAATATCTATATAATATACATATTCTTACAATATAATGTATAATATATGTATAGAATACATATATATAAAATGTATACTATTCTTACAATGTTACGTGTTTAATTTTATTCCATAAGAATGACAAGCTGACTCTGACACTCATTTTATAGTTAAGAAAATGCAACTGAAATAAGTTAGTGAATCTGCAAATATCACATAATTAGTAACTGAGGTGGGTATTTTGGCTCCTAGGTTTGTTTGTTTGTTTGTTTCAGAACATCATGCTTACGTACTCTCTACCTTGTGTTTCTTCAGGTAACTCCTATGCAATTTTCTGCTAGTTTATGACCCTCCAGAGAATGCCCTTTAGCTCTGTAGAGCCTCAGTATAGAATGTAATTGCATGATACTCTAAAGCTTTGCTTGCAGGAAATCACTTTTCTCTATTCTATGTTTTGTGTCCTTGTATTTCCTTCAAATACAGTATCTGACATAGTTATTAAGACAAAACTCCTTAAGCTGAATCATACTAGGTGTGTATAATGTGTTATTATTCTTATGACAGGGATTTCTTTTTTATGTACAACTATGATTGGAGAAGTTTGGACAAATGCTTAAGGCAGAAGCACCCTCAATTTGTATGGTTGCATTTTTCTTCATGTGTTAAAATTGTTATTTCTCCACATTTTAACTGGTGGGTACTTGAGTCACTCATTTTGATGGGACCCAAGGGAGAGACAGGCGAGAGACTTGTGCTGGAGACTGGATTTAAAAAGTCTAGTGAGATAGAAGCTACAGTGTTAGTTTTTTGAGGACACCAAGAATAGAATTGGAGCAGGGCAAGTCTCGCCCAGGTTACAAGTTCAAAAGGCATAAGCAGATTTGAGAATAGGGAAAACAGAGTGGGTAGAAATAGAAAAGAATAATAGAAAAGAATAAACACTGTTAGCAGCTTCCTAGGGAGTTTCTGAGACAGGAGTGGGAATATCAACGACTTGCATTTATTAGTTGGCATTTGTTGAAAGAAGGTTAAGAATATAACATACGGCTTGCATAGAGCCTGCTAAATGCTGTAACGAAATATATATATTCTAAGTGGGATTTTAAAAATTTCATTAAAACTAGAGATTCTAGTGATCTTAGGAAAATTCTTTCCCTAATATCAATGTATCCATCATACATTCTTAGACAAAAAGTGAGTTAGCTTTGGCATATTTAAACAGAGAATAACAAAGATAGGGTGAATTGAATAGAAAAAATAAAAGGAACGTACTCCAATATTTAGATTTACGTTTTTCAAAGATTATTTCTCTATGAATTATTTATGTGTCTGCTGATGGCGAATGTGTCATTGGAAGCACTGGGATTTCTTTCATGATGGTTTCTTTTCTAAAAAGAAAAATATGACCATCGGCCATGGAGACCATCTTCACCCCTCTATTAAAGTGATAAAGTCATATTAGACTGATGCTAAGGTTTTTATTTGACAGGAATGAAATTTTTTAATTTCTTGTATATTTTCAGAAGAGAGATACAAATTATATTAAAAGTCCAGAAAAAAGAGTCACTATCATCCAGCTACATGAACAGAGCATTCTCAGGTAAAATCAATGTAAGTTTCTAAACAAAAGATATTGACCAAAAGCAGCAAGTTTCTTTCTGTCTAGAAAAACAATTATGACTTTCATTTGAATGGCATGTTGTCATAAATCATCCTTTGTGTTTGTCCAGGATGCCCCAAGAGCTATACATTAATTTTGGTCTTAGCCCAGGGCAACTGCACATGTCAGTGTTGAACACATGCCAAGAGTTTAATACAAAAATTGATGTGTGCTTTTCATAGAAAATATCAGACACATTAGCCAAATCTTTTGCAGAAATACATATTCTTTTGCAGATTCTTCATTACTTATTAAATCTCCTGTATTAGCCAGAAGCAAAAGGGAGTAGGAATTTAGACAACTTTGACTGCAGGGTTTTCCCGCAGGGGCGTTCATGAGATTGGGAAGCAATTGAACTTTAACCAAAAAGAAAATAATTTTATTGTCTAAGATGGAACCCAGTGTTCCTTAGAAATTTTAAGGGGAAAGAAATAGATTTGGGAGGAGAGGATTCAGGGATTCATTGAACGGGGGTGGGAGGGAGGGAGACAATAAACAAGGAAAATGCAGAAAGTAAGAAAAAGATGAAGGAAAAGGCACACAAATATCCAGAAATATATTACACTTAATATTTCATCTGGCCCACCATTTTCCTCCATTTATTCATTTTCCCTCATTATTTGATGAGATTATCATTTTCTTCCTACCCAATGGAGTCATTATCTAGTTGTGGCTCATTTGGAATGAATAGTAAACAGATCTTAATTCTGCCATTTTGTAGACCTTAGTCCCTTGAATCTAACCTTCTTCTTACAAAGTCAGTATATATATCAATTTTCCTAGACTGGAGTAAAGCCAGCCGACATTCTCACACATGGAATTCAAGGAAAGAAAGAATTTCATAATAAAAGAAGTAATCAACGCAGCCCAGAGGTCAAGTAAGTCAAGAAGAAAAATACGCACTGCAGTATCTAGATGGTTAAGAATGGAAAACCTTTACCAAATTATTTCAACAGATTTAGTGAGTTTAGAAGCCTTATTTAGTGAATTGAAAGTTTATTAAAATTCTGTACAGCTAAAACCAAACAAATATCATTTAAAAACAAGCAAATTAAAAAATATTTTTTGTCAGGTCAGGCATGGTGGCTCACACCTGTAATCCCAGCACTCTGGGAGACCAAGGCAGGCAGATCACTTGAGGTCAGGGGTTCGAGACCAGCCTGGCCAACATGGTGAAATCCCATCTCTACCAAAAATACAAAAATTAGCCAGGTGTGCTAGAGCACACCTCTAGTCCCAGCTACTCTGGAGGCTGAGGCATGAGAATCACTTGAACCCAGGAGGTGGAGGCTGCTGTGAGGCTGAGATTGCCCCACTGCACTCCAGCCTGGATGACAGAGACTCCATCTCAAAAACAAAACAAAATAAACTGTCACAAAATACCTAAGCAAATAACAAATTGTAAGTAGTATCTGTTTGCAGCAGAAGATATCCGAGTCACGTGGCACCAATGTACGTTTGTGGTGGTGAATCCCTACGAGTCTGCAGAAACCTCAATTCTTGCCCCCTCAGAAGAAGGAATTTGACTGAGGGGCATAAGGCAGAAAGAGAGACTGAGGCAAGTTTTAGAGCAAGAGTCAAAGTTTACTGAAAAGCTTTAGAGCAGGACTGAAAGGAAGTAAAGTACACTTGGAGGACCAAGAGGGCAACTTGAGAGAGCAAGTGCCTGGTTTGACCTTTTGATTTGGGGTTTTATAGGCATGCTTCCAGGGTCTTGCATCCCTTTTCCCCTGATTCTCTCCTTGGGGTGGGCTCTCGGCATGCACAGTGGCCTGCTAGCACGTGGGAGGTGAACATGCCCAGAGTGTTGACTGGAATTGTACGCATGCTCACTTAAGGCTTTCTTCCCTTACCAGCTGAATGTTCCTAGCAGCTCATATACCAGTTAAACACCACCATTTTTCTCTTAATGTATACAGTTGAACCTACCTGCCCAACTCCTGAATCTTCTCAGGAAGTGCCTTCTCATAGCTTCAGGTGTTTTCTATTTATTGGGGGACTGCCTTTCCCTGGCACTGGCTGTGACCAATCATTATTTGAGAGAGACAATTAACAACTGCCTGACCATCACCTGATGATCTCCTGACATGCCTGGTGTGACAAGGGGGAGCCCTCTCCAGCCCTGATCATGCCTGGCTAGCTACCTACTGTAATATGTCCACATGGCTTTCATGATTTCATGAGATAGAAGGGAATTTAAAATTTTTCTAAGAAGAATTAGGAAAAATGAGAATATGCACAGGTTTATTTTTGCAGGACTGAGAGACAGTTATGGAAATAAAAAAGTATTTTCATCTATTAATCATTAATAGATCGCCTTTATTCAGACAAATAGGTCTACAAATGGAACACTATATAAACATATAAAAAGGTTGAAGATACTAATTTCATTAATATTTTATTAATCAAATTAATATTAATATAATGTAAAGTTTTCTGAGTTGCTTAAATGTAACAATTTATGGAAGACCTGTTGGTTTTGGATACTGTTATGCTAAATCATTCTTGTGATAAAAATGTGGATCATTTTATCTACATGGGAATGACTGTATTTTATTGCTTGGTTTGCCATTAAACATGCTTTCTTTATGGGTTATCAACTTCCCATTCAGTCTAGGTAGATTTAATTTTCAGCATATATAGGTGGCCTCAGCACTCTAATATTCTGACTTTTCTTCAAAAGGAAACAGGAGCAAATATTGCATTCTCAATATGCCTTGCACTTTGATCAAAATCTTTCAACCTGACAGATTGAATATACAGACACCAACCAAACTAAATATGACAATACATCTCTCACCTAGGTAAGAAGCCCAGTAGGCCAAACCCCAAGGTCTGATTCAGTCATTCCTAAACAGTCAAGACTTAATCAAGGACGACCACCTTCCACTTAAGACAAACTAGAAAAAGCCAAATATGCTCTCCAGCCAATCACATAAGATGACCTGTTTCTCCCTAAGCCATGCCAACCTCAGCTTCTCCATACCAACAACCTCTAGCCAGAGCATATCTGAAGCCTTCTCTTCCCCTGCATCCTCCCCAACCCACTATAAAACTTTCCCACACCCCTCTGTGCTTGGAAGCATTGGGCAAACAAAAGTGATGATGGCCAATTGCTCGGACCCCGTAGGCGGAGGTTGCAGTGAGCTAAGTTTGCACCATTGCAGTGCAGCCTGGGTGACAGGAGTGAAACTCCGTCTCAAAAATAAATAAATAAATAAATAAAAACAAAACTTACTGAAGACAGAATTTCTTCCTCCTACTCCCCTGGTTTCTGTAAGCATGGACTTTTCTATTTTGCCATTTTCTTTCTTCAACCTGTGGAAAAGGAACATGTTACGTGATTGATGACAATAGATTAGTGTCAGTTTCCTGTTTAAGTGGACTTCAGCTATCAAAAGTCATAAGCGTGGGGCTTTGAGAACACCTCTTCTTCTTACAGACTAAATCGGAGAGGTAATGACCCTGGTTAGCATGCCTGTGTCTTAATCAGCTCAGACTACTATACGGTGTCACAGACTGGGTGACTTACTAAACAACATGAATTTGTGTCTCACTCTTCTGGATGCTGGAAGTCCAAGATCAGGGTGCCACCCTGGTTACTGTCAGGTTCTTGTAAGGGCTGTCACGAGGTTGCAGGTGGACATGTTCTTGTTATACTGCCACAGGCAGGAAAGAGGACCATAGAGTTCTCCGGGGTCTCCTTCATAAACATACTAATCCTATTCATGAAGGGTCCACCCTCATGACCTGATCACCTCTCGAAACCTCACCTCCTAATACCATTACATTAGGGGTTAGGATTTCAACATAGGAATTTGGGAGGAGGACACAAACATTCAGCCCATCACAATCTACAAACTCCAAATTTCCTTGGTGCAAGCATTCAATAAGTGAGTGCTCACTGGAGGGTAAGGGTGTCTTTAAACCTAGAATTCATAAGCAAGTACAGAAGTGTTTTTGGATTCCATCTGCCTAATCATTTGGATGTAGGGAAGATTTTGAGATACTTATAAGCACCAGTAACAGGTCCCCCTATTTCGTTTTGTTCTATTTTCCGACATTAAAAAGAGAGAGAGAGACAGAGAGAGAGAGAGAGGTGACTTGACCTTTCTCTGCTTCACAGAACAGAATTCTGACCATTATAAATCCTGTTGGGTTCATAAGAAGTTTCAGTTTTGTTAAATAAGCTCTGTTATTCATTTTTTTCTCCCAAATGCTTTGATTTTTTAAAATGTGTTCTCACCTTTTTATTCTTTGTAATTTTACAAATTTATAAGTTTTGCATTTTCGGTGTGTGGGTGTGTGCAAATGAGCTTAATGTGCTTCTGTTAATTTTTACACTGTTTGCTGCTGTGTTCCTGCTAGGCTGCTAAAACCAGCTTGGGAAAATGTCATTGCTGTTACCTGGGTATTAAGGAAATTATTATTTTTGTAATTCTCTTGTAAGAAAAATAGTCATGTTTTAACAAAACAATAACATGCCTTGTGTTATTTTACTTTAGATCACTGGGTTAGCATGGAAGTGCTCATAGGAACACCAAGCCCATGTTTCCAGAGATGCTCCAGGGATCAGGCAGTGGGGTCTGGGTGGGTGGATAAAAATGTCAAGCCCATGACAGGCATCTTCATATGAGAACAGATTTATTTACTTTGTCTGAGACTTGAGGACATTTTTGTTCTTTCTCATATTTCACCCCTTTAATATTGATTGGTTGGATTGATTGATCCAGTTTCTGGAAATGTATCTCATGATGTATGGAATGATGAGGCAAAAAACAAAGGGAAGATGTTTTATTTCCATGTCAGGCTAACTTGAGAGCTCGCTCTGAAGTTAGGGGAGTGCTTAAAAATGATGCCAAAGGTGTAAGTTGCCGGTGAATTTTGCTGTATGATTATGGGAGCGTGTTCCTAATGTTCTCACAGGTTTTTTTCCCCCAGAAACCAAACAAAAAGTAGAAATAATGAGGGAAGCAAAAGCATATTTTTAGTGAGACTCTGAGTTGGAGAAAATCTACAAATTTCAACTAATATATGACTACTGCCAAAACCTCTGAGGCCAGAACACCCCATGTGGGAAGCAGTGACGGTCCTGCCAGGAAGGAGTGGGAGTCATGAAGGGGCGTAGAGGGTGCAAATTTGTTGGTTTCAATGGAGCAAATGCTAAACTAGTGCTTATTATGTTCCTGGGATTTTTCTAAGTGACTTACAAATATGACCTCATTTAAACCTCATAACAACCCTATGAGGTACTATCTTATCTACATATTACAGGTAAACAAAAAGTGAAGTACAGAGAGTCAGTGGTGATCACCAAAACTGACAATGAAGATTCCCTTTAAATGAGAGGGCATGTGGACAAAACCAATGGCTGAGGAGAGAGAAAAGGTATAGAAAAGGTATAGAAAAGGTATAGTTTCCAGAGAAACCCAGAGTTGTGCTTGCAGAAAATACACTTTGTAAGGATATGCAAGTTACCTAGGTAAGCAGTTAACTGTGTCTGGGTAGCAAGGGCTACAGAAGCCATGTGGCTGTACCAGCTGCCAAAGTTCCCCTGAGTCTGGTAGGTTATGGGAGTCAGAAGAGATGAGGAAGTTACACAAAGCAGGTGCAACTATGGGTGGAGAGTCCCTTGCTGTAGCAACAAATTCCTGACCCCTCTCTTCTCCAAAGGATGTGTCTGCTAATAGTTTTCTAAAAATCCAGCTCATTCAGAATTAAGCAGTGAAACAAGAAAAAAAAAAAAAATAAGCACAGTACAATAAAATTGTAAAAGAAAAGTTAAATTGAACTCAAAAACTCTGAATCTACTGCCAGTAGACACAATAGATGAATAGTGTGACCAAAATTGCAGTATGAAACAAAGAAAAAAACTTTGATGAAGCAATCAAACATATACATAAAAGAACAAATTTAAAGACCAGATAACAAGAAAAAGGAGAAAACAAAACAAAATGAAACAAAAACTTCAGGAAAGGAATTAAAAAAAAAAAACATTTTACAAATAAAGATGAAATAACAAGCATAGAATGGAATAGACATCATAGATTTGCATAGTAAGTGAAGGAAACATAATGAAAAAAAAAAAAGAACTAGAGAAAGTGTGTATAGATAACAAGCACCCAAAGGAGGAATTCTCCCCCAATTGTAGTTTAAATTGTATTGTATTTAAACTACAATTCAAGAAAGCTTTCCTGAAAGAAAAGAAGATTAAATCTATATATTGACAAAATACACTGTACACCAGGGAAACTTGATCCAAAACAGTCAATACAAAAATATATTCTATTAAATACTGGGACTTTAAAGGTAAATGTATTTCAAGAAGTCAAACAAATATATCAACCTCTTACAAAAAGAGGTTGATAAGCAAAATTAAATACCAGTTTGTAAAATTTTAAGCAAAATTAAATGACAAATATTGGAATAATACCTTTAAGAAAATCAAGGAAATAAATGGTAAGTCAAAGTTTTATTTTCAGACAAAATTTGAGTTAAATTTAATTATACTCTCTAACAGGTTTGAATTTTAACAACTCAGTGACTATTCTTCCACTGAGCTCATTACGAGAAAATGCCAGAGGAGAAACTCCTACCAACCAAGAACCGACAGGGAAAACTACAGCAAAGACCCAGTGGTGGGATCTGAGTATATTTAACTGTAGGTCAATACAAAAACAGAAACCAGAGCAAAATAATCAGAATGAAAATAAATATTGTAAACTACAAGAATGTAGAAATGATAGAGGTAACAAAATCATGACAACGGGAGAGAAGATACAAAGTAAAATAAGCCCAGTGTTACGTTAATGCTAGTAGCTACAATTCAAATATTTAATTTCTTAATGGCATATTCTCCACTTTTCTCTCAATCATAGAAACAGGAGTATTAGAATCTCTATTCATAAGGGTAGATTTGACTATTTCTTCTTTTAGTTCAGCCGATTTTCATTTATATATTTTCAAGGTATGCTATTAGGTACACACAAATTCAGTCTTATTTTGACTTTCTGGTAAATAGATTCTTTTATCATTGTTAGATATCCGTCTTTATCTATAATGTTAATTCTGATCTCTTACTCCACTGTTTCAGATAATAACTGAGCCACTCCAGCCTTCTTATGGCTTGCATATCTACCTTTTTGTACTTTTACTCATATTAAATAACATTTCTAGACTTTTATACATAAAGCACATCTCTTACAAGCAGTAGACTTGAACCTTGCTCATTTAGTCAACGTGACGAACTCTCCCTTTTAATTCAAGAGTGTAGTCTACTTATATTGAATGTAATTATTGATGTTATTGTGTGTAAGTTCAACCAAAATATTCTTTTCCTACATTTCCAATTTGTGTTTCTTTCTTTTTTTCCTCCTTTCTGGAGTTCTTTGGATTAATTCAGTATTTTATGTTTCATTTTTTCTACTCTGGCTTTTTGACTCCATATCTTTATATTTCAGTGTTTTCTTAAGACATTATTATATGAATCCTTACCACAGTCCACTTTCAAATAATATCATATCGACGTAAGTATAATTGAAGTTTAAACATGATACTTCCATTTACCCCCTCATTGTTGTCATACATTTTAGTTTCATATATGTGCAGTCCTTACAATTTATTATTAGTTTTTGCTTTAAACAGTCAATCATCATTTTAAGATAATAAATGAGAAAAATGCCTTTTACGTTTAAAATTGCCAGTGTTTTTTATTTTTTATTTCATATTTATTTATTTATTCATTTTTGAGACGGAGTCTCACTCTGTCACCTACGCTGGAGTACAGTGGTGCAATCTCAGCTCACTGCAACCTCCACCTCCCAGGTTCAAGTAATTCTCCTGCTTCAGCCTCCCGAGTAGCTGGGACTACAGGCGTGTGCCACCCTGCCCGGCTACATTTTTAGATTTTTAGCAGAGATGGAGTTTCTCCGTGTTGGCCAGGCTGGTCTCAAACTCCTGACCTCAGGTGATCAACCCGCCTCAGCCTCCCAAAGTGCTGGGATTACAGGCGTGAGCCACCACACCCGGCTGCCAGTGTTCTTTAGCCCTTCATGTAGATCCACATTTCAGCCTGGTATCAGTCTGAGAGATGCTTTCCCTGATATTTCTGTTAGGGAAGATCCACTGAAGATGAATTCTCTTGGTGTTTATTTGAACTTAAAGTGTTTCTGTTTTGCCTTCATTTTTGAAATTGAATTATGGGTTGAGAGAGTTGTTTTGTTTTGACATTTTAAAGGCGCCAATCTCTATTGTCTTTTCACTTGAATTTGTGATAAAAAGATGGAGGTAATTTGCATGATTGCTGTGCTACATATAAT